GCTGTGATGCATACAATATATTGAATTTACTTAGTCATGTGCTTTGTCCAATTAGGCAAAATATTAATCTTGAATTTGAATTGACTGTGAGTGTCTCAGATACAGCTCTGTGCTGTTGGCAGATCGAGCTACAAAGATCTGGCTTGGTCCCCCACTCTACAAGGCTACAAAGTGATGGTGTAACTCTCTTCTAGTTACAGTGCAGGAAATTCTAAACTCTGGATCATGTTTGTAATGAGACTTGTACTCTATGGCAGAACATTTTTTTCTTCATATATGCTTGCAAGTTCTGGTTTGCATTTTGGACAAAACAAAAGAAAAACAACAACAAAAAGACCCCCATCAAATAAACTCCAACGTTTCTGAATGGAATTCTGAGATAGAAATTTGTTTGATGAATGTATTTTGTTACCCTCATTTGTTTCATTCAGGGTAGCAGGCTCTGTAGACCTCTCTCAATCTGAATGATCACTCAGGTACTGGATAAAAGCAGCATGTTCTAGCAAAAAAACTACAAAAACTGTACTCGGGTTCAACCACATTAGTATAATCACTACAAAAGTGTTTAGTTTACTGAGAATATCAGACAGGATTCATAAGATTGTCTGTAGTTTCTTAAAGAGGCGATAGTGTTATGGAGAGGTAGGTAACACCCGTTGTGAAAAGAGCACTGCCATTACTGGCACTCCTGCATATGTGTTGTTGGCCTTGCTCTGCTCTCTTCTCCAGAAAGTCCGCTGTACTATCCCTCAATTATTGAAGTTTGGATTTTCTTGGGTATAATTTTGCCACTGCTGCCTGTAAAACACAGTAATTCCTTGAAGTGCTACCTGTAACTTTCACCAGCCTCTCGCTTTCCTGCGTCACCTTCTGGCAGTTTTTTATGCCATACTGAGTAATTTTCCCGGTCCTTTGCAGTTGGCTTAAGCACTTCCCAGAGCCTAGTCATTTGTCTGCAGCCCTTGTAGAGATATATATGGGTAGGCTGTGCTCCTGCCAGTTCCTCTTTCCAGGTGGCAGGGCTTCTCAGAGAAAGAATACGGTCTTTGATTGCGCAAGAGTCTATGAGAGGCTTCATGTTCATCTGGCAACCTGGAGAAGTGAAATAAAACTGTCATGGCATAGCACTGAGCACTGAAATGGTGTGCAAATGTCCACTTTGACCTGTTATACAGGAAGTCTGTTGGAGGAGATGTATCAGTTCATTCTTTTGAATCTGCTGGGTATTTTATGGGAAAATCACACATGTAACTGTGTACTGCTGCTTCACACTTATGTTCTTGCTTCTCCTAAATAAATAAAGGATTTCTGAGCACCTCTGAAAATCAGTTCTTTTAAGTTTACACAGGGTTTATAATGACAGACCAAAGCAGCCCACATTTGAAACAATTAAAATATATTTGCCTTTTGTTAGTGTCAGTGGACCTGCAGTGTCCTCTAAATGAAAGCAGTAAACATAATTTAACTCTTTAATGGGAATAAATCTTCCACAGATGATTAAGCCAGACTGAGAGCTACTTCAGTACTCCACTTTACTTTAAGGAATATCTTAAAGATATTGCAACTCATGGGATTCTTGTTTCAAAATCATGCTATCACTTCTACAGAGATGTGGGTACTTGTTAAAATATAGGATCCATGTTACAGAGGTTTCATAGATGAACATAATGATTCTGCTGGGTATTCATTAAGATCAAAAGAGGCCTTTGAAAACAGTAGGCAACAGATCCATTGCTGATAATAACGCTGATGATCTGGATAGCATAAAGGTATATTATTATTCATAAGAGTAGAAGGTGAGTACTTAAAATAACTGTACGGTTCTACTTGGACAATACTTTTCCTGGTAACTTCAAAGGGAGCAAGATGGATCATTCCATTAAATGACTTTTACAAAGGTTTTCTTCTTGGACAAAACTATCATGGAATCAATGGAAGGTACTTCTAACCATACGTGGAAGAAGTGGCATTAGTATTTCCGTAATTTAAAATTAGTATTAAGGTGTTAATTCAAAAGTTGCTTACTTATTGCAGTTTGAGTACCAGTTGAGTATAGTGTCACAGCATAGAAGTGACATTATTGATTTGAATTGACATGTTCTCATAAGTGAATTTTCAGTTTGTTTTTATCCCACAGAGGTAATGGATGTATAAAGAAAGTTTGGGCCAGAGTCCAAAGCTGCTCTCAAGGTTTGGTCCAAACTAAACATGTTTATTTGTTTCTTAATATCATCATAATCCAACAGTTACATTAAGGCTTACTTATCCAGGCTTTTATTACGTGGGCTGCTGTTTCTGCTGATTCCAATCCAAGGCAACTGTAGCATGTTTTTCCTTTTTAGAAGTAAGTAATATCAAGAAACTGCTAAGAAAAAATTCACACTCCCAGCACAAACTGCCACTATATACAGCGGTTGGGGAAATCTGATTGAAAAACTGTATCTACCTTATTTATCAGCACTGCCTTGACTGTATCTTCAGGATTCCTTGAAACAAATGATGGATTGGGCTACAAATAGTAGCTAACAGAAGACTAGCACTGCTTCATTAGTGTGAAAATTTATTTTGCTGGGTTGCTTCTAGTGTCACAGGCTCTAACTACAGGGTGGAAGTGATTCATAGATCTCCTCACATAATGGAAAATATTCATTTCTGAGAACTTATCACAAAATGGTTCTTCACAGTCCTTGTAGTCTTTCAAATAGATCCATTGTTTTTCCTTTTTCCCAGAATGGTTTGATGTGAGTTAAAATATAAAATAAGGAATTAACTTAGTATCATGATTCAAGGCAATTATTTAAGAGCAACATTGTTTTCAACATCTGGGATGGCACAACTTGTTTTGAGAATGTTGCCAAGCTTTTACCTAAATGACAGAGAGATGGGTTTGCAACTTACTGAAGGGATGCCTTCAGATGCAGTTCTTGCGTGGAGTAGATTACTAGTTTTTAGTTGAGTGGACTTCTGGAGCGTCACTAACATTTATGTGTTCTGGGACATGTGGAAAATTGTGTAGTAATTAGAAGAGTGAAATGCTCCAAATACCTTTTCCATTGGAAGACTTTTCTACTTCAGTTCATTTTGTATTTTAATCAAAGTCTAACTGAGAGCTGTGTAAATGTGCAGTCATCGTCCTCTGTTTTCAAATTATAGAGTGTAAGATAAGTTATTTTAAATGGCTGTAGCTACTGAGTATTTTACAGTTGTGAGGGAAAAGAATTGTTTTGGGGGAAAAGATTGCACTAGGGTTGGTTGCATTAGTAAGCATTTTAAATTCTGTAAATCTGCCAATTCAAGCTGAATAGTCAGCTTTGTAAAGTTCATAAATATTTTCATTCTCATATGATTTCTTTTTTCTCTCAGAATTTTTTAAGTCAATAAAGCACCTTTAATAGGATCTAGACCCAATTTCTAAGGCTAGATACACAAAATAACACATGTTGTGAATGGTTTTGAAGATATTACCAATAGATTTGATCTGGATCAGGCCTTTCTGAGTATTCAGAGCATAAGATAGGGTATCTACGTCCATAAAAGTATTTTCTTTTTTTTTTTTTTCTCCTGTGAGGGCATTCTGAGATTGGCCTTGAGAAATGGACCCAGTGAAGTTAGTGAATGATTTCATACTGAGGCTGAAATTCAGGCACTGAGGTTGTCTGGGGAAGAACTTAAAAAATAAATAAAAATAAAAAATAAAAAATAAAATAATAATAAAAAAAAAAAGATCAAAGTTGCATGCTTTGTTTCTAGGAGATTACAGGATATATTAGGGAATGGTATCAAGAGGGAGAAGTAGAATTGATACAAGGACAAGACTGGAAATGTGTGTTCTACAGATGATCCTGGAAGACTGCAGAAGTCTCTGTCTTCAGACCTGTGTGCAATATGCCTTCTTGGGTGTGTTGCTATTCAGAGGTACGACATGACTCAATGATCCTGTTAGAGCTGTACCTCTTGCAGAAAGGAAGGTCAGGATTTCACAGTCAAGAGAGAGAGGGATTCCTGAACACATATCCCATCACAGTGATGAAAGCACTTACATGGAAGAGTGCCCACCTGGTTTCCACTCTTTTCTCTAAAATTTTGAATGTATTTTAAAGCAAGAATTAACTGGGTAAAATGCTTAGATGTAGATATCAGTTGAAAAGCTTAGGAACAGACATCAAGTTGTGATTCTTGTGAAGCAGGAAAGATCAAACTTCAGAAGAAAAGTTCAGAGCCTGACAAAGTGGAGTCTGCTCTTAGTTGACATCTGTGATAAATATTGGATAGTCGGGATACTTCACTGAAAGACATCCACAAAAATGCATTTTCAGTAGCTATGAGGGGTTTAAAAAGGCTTACAGCTATGCTTCTAATGAGGGTTGCTGGGGGTGTTTTAGTTCATATAGCTTTCCAGGTTGTAATAATGATATACATATTGCAAAAGGAGCAATTAACTGCCTATATATAATAACTTTGTGAGATATCTTCAAAGACGCATAGAAGCCTTTCTTGTAAATGCTAAGGAGTTGTATTAAGGATGTGTTAACAGTTCTTAGAATAAACAGAATCTTGCAGCACTGGGGTTCAAGGTGCTTGAAGCAGGAAGAAGGTACTATTCTGTGAGATGTCATCTGCAGCCCTGCTGGGCAGTAGTGACCAGCAAAGGGAATTCAAGTTTATTCAAGTTTTGCAATCAATTTCACAACCCTTCAAGTCTGTCATGAAACTGGAGTTATTATTGAGGGTGTTTTTTTCAGCAGGGGATTGTAGAAATCAAAGGCAAAGTTGATGGACCAATTCACATAGTGGTTTGTACAGGTTTTTGGGGGGGAAGGGAGAGAGCTGAGAATATGGTAATTTTACAGCAACTTCTTGAGCAAACAATTTATGAGTGTGTTCCCATGTGTTTTCTCTCGCAGTGATGGGTAGCCTACTGCCACGGAATAGATTAACGTAACTGGAATGTAAATATTGACTTGGCTGTAATTCTGCATGCAAGCTTTTGGACTGCTAAAATGCTTCTTAACCTGAAAAGCTGTAGTTCTACCACTTCTTTTCTTTTTCCTTTCCTTTGTTTTCAAGAGCTTCTGTGTTAGAAAAAGGAAGAGGAGTGGGAATTATGAGGTTCCAACTTGAGATCATCTTTACATCTATGATATTGCCATTCTAGAAGGAACGGAGTGTAAAAGGTTTTTTTCAGAACTGACAGAGGAAAACAACAACAACCAACCATGCTATATTGGGTTTTAGGAGGTTTCATGCAAGAGGCTTGTTTGGATTGTTGCTGTGTATTCCTGGAGGTACTGTGGGCGCTCTGTCCTCAGATTGGCTCTCTCTAGGTGTTATTCTGGGCTACAGGAGAAGAGATAGTTTAAATTATATTGTATAATATTCCTGCTGGGTGTTTTGGGTGTCTATATGCTTAAGGGTACATGAACTAGTAGTCTGACCTCTTTTTTTCTGTCTTTGTAATAATATATAATTTGTATTGAAAATTCATTAATCCAGAACTCCAGCATAAATGACTTTAGAAGCACTACCAATGACACTGCAATGCACATGGAAATTTGAATTTTCTCATTAACTAGGAACACACTTTTTGAAAGGTGTTGTTACTGAGAGATGCAAACATCTGTGTCATAATGCTTTGATGCAGAGTTTTGCACTGAAATAGTGAACAAAATGAGATTCAATACCAGCTTCAATGATTTTAGCAGTCCGAAGTAAATGGTAAAACTAGCCCGTATAAAAGGAACATCCTCGGCCTGTCACAAACTTCTTGGAGGCATCCAGAATATGACAATAAATAGATAGCAGGTAGTAGGACCTAATAACATACAGCGGGATAATGTAGAACAATCTAACGTAGTAATGTCACTGAAAGGCAGGGGAGTGAGGGTAGATGGTAATCTCGACAATACAGGTGTCCTGGAAATTCAGACAGCAGAGTCAAGGAAGCAGAGAAAAAAAAATACCAAATTGCTTCTTGAATTGCTATTCTCCTTTAGAACCATGCTGGCTGTTAGAAAGGAGAAGATAGGATGGTATCCCTTTTTCCTTTTTCCTTTTTCCTTTTTCCTTTTTCCTTTTTCCTTTTTCCTTTTTCCTTTTTCCTTTTTCCTTTTTCCTTTTTCCTTTTTCCTTTTTCCTTTTCTTTTGAGGGAGGGGGAATGGTTGTGACCTGCAACATCTCTGAATTAATTTTTGCTCTTTCTAACTTTTAGCTTAGAAAAATGAGCATCACTACTTCAGTCATGATTTAGATTTTATCTCAAGTTATCCACTTTCAGTTGTTCATACTCTATGGTGTAATGGTTTCAAATGCATAATCAGTTATATGTAAACAGTAAATAGAGTTACCTTTGGAGCTGGAACATCTTAATTCGTAGTATCAGAATATTTGAACAAAATATTTGATAGGAATTGACCTGAACAGTATTCGTTTGTGTACAGCTTATTCCACTGTAACAATCAGATGTGAATTCCTTCTTTTTGGACGTTACTTCATATTTTATTATGTTTTTACTCTTATTTTACTTTCATCTAATGTATGCAACATGTAAAAGAAAAACAAGTGGCTTCATCTCTATATACTGGGTGTGTAGGTAACATAGCACTGTTCACCACAAACACTTCTGTGCATTAAATGTGTGACTGGGCCAGAGAAAATTTTTTCTTCTATTGATAAGCCAGTTACATGTTTCTTCTTGTTACCTAGAGAGAAATTATTTTGTCATTAAAAACATGTATTTAGGTTTTTTTGGATGTGTTTTAACTATCTGTCAGTTTGTTTATTTTTGACATATTCTCAAAATGGCTTATTTTGATGGTACTGCTTATTCTCATTTTCAATCAAAGCATCCCAATGCAGAGATTTGTCTTTCATTTCTGTCTTGTAGGAGCAATATGACCCCCATGATCCTTTTTCAAACTGCCTAGAAACAGGGCGCCATTTCTTTGTGACTGCATATGTAGGAAGACAGCATTAGGGCCTCTGGCAGAGTATGCAGTGAGCCACAATGCTATTCTAGCAACAGATTTTCTTCCACAACAGATGTTTCTCAGGACATTGCTATTATCTGGTAATAACATTTCCCTACCACTCCTTGTGTTCCGTGGTGGTTATTCCAGTGGTTGCTATGTTATACATTAAGTTTAAACAAGCATAGAAAAACAGCTTGAAAACTGTGATTGATAAAACAGTTTATTGAAAGAGAATGTCTGCTCTGATATTGTTTCGTTTCTCTCATTTGGTTTTTGTAAGAACACTCTCCACTTGTGACAAGTAAATTCCCGAATTAATTTGCTTATTTTGTCCTCGGCTACTTCATTTGAAATGGTCTTGTTTGGGCTTCAGCTCTTGTTTTGTTTGTCTCCCTTGGAGGATCTTGTGTTCAGGCAAAGATTACACTGGTGGCTTCGATCTTGGGCCTATGTGATACGATGCAAAAGAATGCTTTCTTAAAAAAAACAACAATAATAATAAAAAACTTCTGGGAATCACCTTTATTTTACACATTATCTGTTCAAATGTTAAATGGAAATGTTTGTTTTAATTATGCTTTGGCTTTTAAACTAAACTAATATGTAGTCTCTGCTTGCATTCTGCCATTAAGCAGGAAATACAAAAAGATTTGTGAGCAAGGATAAATTCTGAAATCTTCAGGGGACTGAGAAGGAGACTTGGAATCAAGTTGTGAATATCTGGGGAAGTTTCTTTAGCTGATCGTAGGTTTTGAAAGTGAAAATGGTTCTTTCCCTTCTATTTTTGAGCTACTTCTCTTCCATTGAGGAAGGAATTTCATGACAAATATTCCATTTATTTTTTAGACAAAAATGTTGGATAAAATTTAACCTAGCATCTGAACTTCTAGCTGCTTTATTTGAATGTAGATAGAATTCTTGGAAAGCACGTGACAGCTAGCAAATACTTCTCTCTAAAGTCCCAGCTGAGTAGGAATCTGACGTATTGCTTACCAATATTTACAAACTGGTACTATTTGTACCTGAATGGTCTCTGGACCTGAGATATCTATCATGATGTGTCACTGAAGTAAGATGGACTCTTGAAAATAAATACATTAATAATGAAGATTAATAAACAAAAGAAAACATCCTTCAAATTGAATCTCTGTGCATAATACTCCAAAATCTCTCTTGTAGAAATAATTTTTTTTTTCTCCTTGATTAGATTTTAAAACTAGTTTTTCTTTCACAGACTGCAGTTGGATAAATAGAAGGGTATGCTGGGGGCAGAGGCAGAGCAATGCTCACATTTTAGAACTGTTATTAGTTTGAAAGTAACCATTAATCCTGCCTCCCTCTTGTCTACTGAAGTTATTCCATGCATGTGTTATACAGAGTATTCTGTGTATTCATCCATTCATCTCTGTCTCTGGGCATGATAACAGCTACTCAAAACCTGGAATTTTAATTAGACAAGGAGGAGGGAACAAAACATTTTTGTATCAGTTATCTCAATTTTGTGAATGCAATCTCATTGAGATGCGTAACTTGCATCAGTGTCATCTCTATCAGAATTCAAAAAGGATGGTAATGTATCACCTTATTATACGTATAGAAACAGGATATCCAGGAAAAGGCACTACCCATGTGTATGGGGTTATTAATAAAATTAGGTAATCACTTCTCCATCATGCGAGCTTTGAATTAAAAATATCACCCTGCTCGTTTTCTATTATAGTGAAAGTTACTAAATGATGTAAGTTGCCCTTGAAGCTCTCTGTACGTGACACTAACTCATCTGTTGGCATTATCATCCAGCTTTTTCTTGGGGAAATGAAATGGGTGATGTAAGCAACAACTGTAACCCTCTAGAAGCAGTTCAGACAGTCTACCAACTAAGCCATAAGGCCTATGATCAGCGCCAGATGTGAAAGGGGAAATGATTTTGTACTTATGGCTTAGGTTTCAGTATACAGGTTTGTGCACTGTGTGAAGTATCATGCTTTAAAATACAAGGTAGACTTTAGACTACAATAATAAATTCTTTAAAACTAATAAATTCTTTAAAACTGTATATTTAGGATGGAGGATGGAAGGAGAAGATTGAGTGGGCATGAATTTGAAATAAGAGCAGTTCTGACAGCTCTTGAAGAAAACCAGGCATTGGACTAGGCTGCACACAGAGGCAATGCAGTCTGTACCATTGGAGTTTCTCAAAAACTAACTGGAGAAGCCCTGAAGCATGTGGTCTGTCTCAGAGCTGACCCTGCTGTGACCTGGATGCTGGCCTGGAGACCCCTTACAACTTGAATTATTTTGTAGTCCCACAAAGCGGAAATCCTGACCTGCCCGAAGCACACATAGCCAGACATAGAGCATCAGCATGCAGTTCTGCACTTAGAAATTTTTTTTTTACTTGTGTAATTCTAGCTGGAATTTATTCTTACCCTTAATGCTTTGTTGCTGCAACTATCTGGGCATACACTTAAGGGAAATCAGTCCCTGGGGAGCACTGAGTTTTAAATCAAGTGTGTGGACTTGAGATAGTTGCTGTGAGTTTTTTTCGGCCTTCAGCATGGTTAGGGATGTCATACGAAAGCTGTAAAAACACTGTACCCTTTCATCTGACAAAATCTGTGGAAAGATTGCTGCAAGTCCTTAAATACCTGGTAGCTTCCAAGTTGTGTTTTCCCAGAGAAAACTTCCCTGTAAAAGACATCTTTCATAGATCTTCAAACACACATCTAAATTTTGAACCATCAGAAACTGTAAAATTGCATTATTAAGGCTTTATTTTCTCTATCTCAGTGAATTTTTTTACTTTTGTGGAGTTCCTCAGGTGGAGGAATGGTAGGCTGAGTATTTTAGCTTTCTTCTCTGAAACTGTTCTCACTATGTCATTATTATTTCATTAGTACCAAATGTCTGTATCAGTGGAATTCAGGTAAATATATCACAGCCCATAACCTTGAATCAAAGAGTTCACAGGATATATCAAGGTTTGATAAGCTTTCAAATAGCAAGATGACTCTGAGTTTGATCTTTCAAACTGACTGTAGTTGTATTGCACATGCAGGCGTGCTTGAAGCAGGAAGGCATGAAAATGCAATGAAAAGCCAATGAGAATGAGATGATAAAATAAAAATCCTTGACAAGAGGCAACATTTTCTTAAGATTGGTCCCTGAGACATGTAGAATTAAAACATCTCAGAAATTTTGAACACTGCTTCCCCTCCTGTACTCCCCCTCCTTCCAAAACCAGTGCAGTTCTTAAGAATGTAATGTGAAGAAAACAAGTGCTTCTGTATTACAAACTAGTATCAAATTTACCACATACAGATATGCTTCAAATTGCAAGCAATCTTCTAACACAAGGTGCATTTCTTAGTTGTTACAGACAGCCGTATCATTTGATTATTTTCATAAATGGTTTTGGTGGTTTATATTTTTATTATCTCCTTTCATTTAACAACGGTCTTCTGCTTAATCTCAGCAAACACTTGAGAACCAGCACGACAGTCATTTACTGTCTCTGTGTTCGGTATCTGTAGTTCACACATTGTAATGGGATTTTTTGTTTGCATTTGTTAATGTAGAAACCTCATGTGCACAGCTGTGACCTTTGTCAGATTTTGAGTTTCACAGGAAGTTACAGCAAATGGTAAGTAGGCTCTGCACTGTTCTGGAAAAAAAAAAAAGGATAAAAGCAGTGGGAAAGTCAGACAGTGGGCTCATTCATAAAAGTTTCACGTTTCTTTATATTGTCAATTTTTACTTACTTTCATTTTTAGAATGTTCTGCCTTCCTAGAAAAACTAATTCAAAGTGTGAGTGGGCTGTCAGTTCACCTTAATTCTGAAATCTGTCTTTCCTCTCACTCCATAACGATTCTGAAAACTTAGTTATTCCTTTTGAGCTTATTCTGATCTTAGTGGTAGTGCTGATGAAATCTGAAAGAAAATGCTTCAGACAGATAGAACTTTTTGTAGGTCTTGTCACATTAACACCACTGAGGCAGAGATGTATTAATTATATTAAAAAAGAAAATTACGAAAAGTGAGATCAAACCCTATGCTGCTCATGCAAGTTCTGTCTCATGCTCCTCTACCCAAACTAAAGAATGAATAATTTGCTGCCCTGCTTTTTTTGTTTGCTTGTTTGTCTGTATTTGTTTTGTTCTTCTTTCTTTTAAAGGAGTTGCTATGCCATCTCAGGAAAAACATCTTGGTCTGCTACTACCTGCTGTTTTGGTAGTACCTACTGTTGTGCTGTTTTGCACACATACCCTTGGGACCTTTAAGTATTTATTGTTCACTACTATTGTTCCCCTTTGTATGTGAACTATTTCCATTCATGCACTTGCTGTAGACAATCGTATTTTCCTTTCAACATGTGTTGTGGTGAAAAGTAAGCATTAAAGGCTTCCAAAATCAAGTAATTATATTCTGTTCCTATCTCCTATAGTTTTCAAGGGAACTCAAAAAGGCTAGATGGTAAAAAAAAAAAAAAAAAAATCTACTAAAAAGGTTGCATATCTCATTTTTGAAGACTGAGTGTGCCTAAATGCTTTCTGTTTTTATGTATTCAATGGATTTATATATATGAAAGCTAGTATATATATCTACAGCTGATGTACAGATGTAAGTTAAATAAGAGCAATAAGTTGACTTCTTTCTTTCTTCCTTTTTTTCTGTGAATGCTTGACCACCTAAGTCCATTTTTGAGAATATCAAATGAAGAAACTCAGACTACTCCAAACTACTGGGGAAGTTTAGAATAACATTCAGTTGTTGCTGTTGAAGGTTCTATTCTAAGAATATTCAGTTGGGGTACAGGTTAATCTATGTTAAATGAGGACACTAGGTTTTTTTTTCAGATTGTAGTATGATGTAGGAAAAAAATATGGAAATATGGCTTGAGCCATAAATTTTGTTAGTTAATTTTTCTGTAATTAAACTTGATTTAAATCATTTTTATTGTTGTATGGAGGCTCCAAGTAAAACTACTTCAAGCTATCAGAAATATTTTTTGTTGCTGTTGTGAGAAATAATAATAGAAAACTTTGTTCTTTGTTTAGAACAAATGTAATGTGGCTTGGGATTTTGAACTTCAGATGTGATGATCTGGAACACTTTCAGAAACCCTAATTAATTTTAGCATTGAACTTTATTTAAAATTTTAGAAGGAAGTATATCATTCACTTACCTGCTATTCATAACTATTACAGTGAAAACAAGGAAAATGCCCAAAATGAAAAACTCACCATGCTGAAGGGGAAGAGGAACAGGAAATCAAAACAAAAAGCCAGAAAGATGGCAAGAAAAGCTGTAAAAGTACCAAATAATGTCAACCTTGTTTATTCAAGATTAATAAAATACTAGGATATTAAATTCCCTCTTGTTTTAAAAAAGAAAAAAAAAACACTCGAGGAGCATGATGATTGTTGTTTTCAGTCCAAGACTTTCTGTGGAGAAAATGCATGTATTTGGTTGTAGTCATTTCAACTCTGCAAGAGCCAGTAAGATGCTTATTCCTAAAACACATTGTAAGCGAGTTAAGTTGTATGTTTTACTGAGTTTGTTTGTAATTAGTTTGAAGGTAATATGAGCTTCTATGCACACATCAGGAATATCACCAGCAGTTACGGCACTAATAAGGCTTTACTGGCTTGGGATCTTTACTACAGTTCAAAGCTCCATAACTCGTTATAAAGGTCTGTTGAGGCAGATAGGAAACTGTGCATCATGGATGTGCTACTTTAGAATAAGAATTCCTTTTTGTTTTAGAATTATTGCTTTTTTTCTGAGATTTTCGTATCCTGCTATCTCTAACACCACCTCAAATATTCAGGAAAGAAACAAAGAAATAGAGAACAGAAAGAATTCTGATGGTGGCCAATGCTGCCTGTGTGCTTCACACCACAGTTACAGCAACTGGTCAGATGGCACACACAAGATAAAGAAATATGATATACTGTTTTCTTCCTCTGAGGAGAAATGAGATAATTTCAGATTGTAGTTTTCCTACTTGCTCTTTGGGCAAAAATGTAATGATTTTATTTGGGGCCAGACTATATACATGCTGTTTAGCTTGTATATTACTGTTAGTATTTCATGTGAAGGTCTTTTTTTGTAAACAGATAGTGAAGTTTACAGTATTTTTCAGCTCTTGGCACAGTGAAGTGCCTTCAAATTCCCTTGAGGTAGGCAGTTACCAAACAAATAGAGCAGCAGCATGTAGATTCTCCTGGTGACACACAAGAATCTTCCAGAACAGTAATACATTAAAAAAAATTCTCGCTTCTGTTTTCTGCAAGTGTTTGCATAGTTGAGGTAAGTATTCTAAAGGCTGTCTGCTGGTATTTTGTGCAAGTTACATTGTGGAATGAGAGTTCTTATAAATTCTCCATACTGTAACTAATCTTCTTAAGCCTCTTGATCCCATTTGTATTTCCAAACTGTAGTGAACAAAACCATTTTCCTGTTCACAAAAGTAAAAATGAGAATTTATGCTATGTACAGTGCAATATGACATGCAGAAGCTATGCAGCCAGTAAACTGGAAACTTTAACAGTATCAACAGCTACATGATAAGACCACTGTGGAACAGCTTGATGTGGATGGAAGGATTGAACTGTATCTATATAATGCTCCAGATAGCTGTAACTATGGCTATAGCAGATTTAGCAGATTATGGAGTCTCCTCCTCTAGAGACATTCAAAATCAATCTGCGCCACCTGTAGTTGGATACCTGCTTGAGCATGGCATTGAACTAGATGATCTCCGGAGGTCCCTTCCAACCCCCAAAACTCTGTCATTCTGTGAAACTACACTTATTCAGTTGCATCGTCAGAAATTGTTTCTTTCACTTTCCAATAAAGCTTTAAGAGACCCTGACATTTTTTGTCCTTTAGAGCAGCAGATATGTCAGGTTTTATTATCTTCAGATTTTTTTTCTTATCTAAGATTCTTCTCTTAAATTTTTTTCTTTTTCTTTTCTCAAAGTTCTGATTACTTTGAGCAGATATAAAATGTCGATTTGGCTTTGAGAGTCCTAATGAATTCTCCCTCACCACCATCTCCCTTTACTCTGCTTGTCTGTCTTTGAGATACTCCAATCCCTGAAGCGGAGGGATTAAAAAAGAGCAAGATAGACTTCCACAGAGAGAAAGAAAACAAAATACTTTCTCTTGATCCATTGGAGATTAAGGAAAGATCATGCAGTAGATCTTCTCATAATCTGTTTCACATCTATTTGGTTGAAATAATTGTTCTCTTAAATGAGTTGATATCACCACTACATTAATCTATATAATAGAATATACAAATGATTATATTTTCTTTTGAAATCTAATGTAACATTCAGTAATGCGCTATTCTCCATTTTGATACACTAACTTTTCCTCCACTGCCAGGGATCAGCAAAGATTTCTTTTAGGCGAATTTGAGGTTGATGGAATGTTATGGAAAAATACTTCACCTGGAATCAGGTCTCAACAGCCATTTGCAATCATGGCTGTATAAGAAAGGTGTTCATTTTCTTCTTCACTGAAGTTCCTTGTAAGAGGATAGTGGCTATAATTCTGTCTGTGACTTTGGGGTGAAACTTTAGAAATAAGACAGGGTAGGTGTGGGGTGCTATAAGACTGGTTTCAGAATATGACAGGGTCCAAAGCCTATACAAGATTTGAGAAAATTTATGTCTACTTATTTTCAAAATCTGTTAGCAGGTGACAGGGTGAGAGTAGTGGGATGAAGCTGAGGAGAAGTTATATTAAAAGTTGGAAACTAACCTCTGTTCTGTTTAGGAGTAGTTTCCCAAGGGAAGTGTGGGATGCTTTAATATCTTTGAAGTTATGTTTAAAATAAAACAGGGCTGGAAAACAGTACTGTAAATGAGTAATGCAGCGTGCTGTAGGCAAGGGAAGGAAAATGGGCCTGTTTGGTGCTTTCCACTCCTGATTTCTCAGACTTAAAAAAAAAAAAAAAAAAAAAAAAAAAGAGTAATTTTATTCCCAGAACTTTAACTTAAAACATGTTCTACATCTATTCAAAGAATATATTTCAAAATTCTCCTCACCTGTAATTAGTCTTCTCACTCATTCACTGAAAGCCAAACGTCATTAAACTACCTTACTACGTCACTCGCTACATTATCTTGCTAATGAAATTTCATCTGTGACAAACCTGAACACTAGTTTTCAGAAGATACAGAGAAAAATTTCATAAGGTATTCCTCTGATTTATGCTCCCAGTTGAGCTAACAAATGTTAGCTACTGCTGATACTGAACTACTTCTGGCTCACTCGGATAAATGGTTTGGTCTGTTAAGGCAAATTCCCTCTGCCTGTTTCAGAGATCTGGGACTATGCTATACTTTTTCTGCGGCTGCATTTTCCAGTTTAAAATAGCAGGAATATAGCCTCTCAAATGATGTAAGCTTAGCTTTCTGTGTTATATAGGTCAGCCTTCATTAGGAATCTTGTCTGTGCTGTGAAGACCTTAAAGACACCACACAGTTTTACAGCACTTCACCAGACTTTTCTTCTCATGCCTTCGCTACTGGCTTCGTGCTTATGTGTTGTCCTTTACCTCAAGCATGGATGTATTTAGAAGAGTATTTAATTCTTGAAGATCTTTCACAGATATTCATGCAAATGTAAGATGCTACTTGCAGTTCATATTCATTTTAGACTTTCTATTTATATGAGGCAATCAGAATGACTGGAGGCAGAGGCTTTAATCAGTACTCACGTCAGCAATAAAAAAGCACTGCATCAAAAGTATTAAAAATAAATAGTGAAGGTTGGCTGGTTGAATTCAACATCAGCAAAATTTACTTCTGTAATAAAAATGAAATTACTAGATAACACTTTGCTAAAATGTGCATGCAAATTTATGGTATATTAAAAGCAAGCATAATCTGTGACCTGATTGAGCTGGGCTTTCTGTTAGGCTCCTAGCTCTTCTAGCTTTTAATTCAGCCCGTCTCATACCTTCTATCTAGATTTTTTAAAATGTTTATTTTGTTTGCTATTTGTTTTGCTGAGTGTGAATGAGCATAGAGTAACAAATGCATTCAAGGTTGATAGAAACACAATGTGTTTCTGTGGTCGGAACAAGCCCAGTTACTTTGGGAAAAAAAAAAAAAAAAAGCAATTGTGTATGTTCCACCTTAGATTTGATGAAAACAATCCACCTTTTCTCCTGATACGATCTGTTCTCTCCTCTTCTTACACCTCATGTAGTGAGTCAACCTGCCCTCCCCTGCATGTCACAGCTTGCTCTTTGCAG